GGTCGAATGGAGCCATTGAGCGAGGAGACTTCAGCTATATCGGAAAGACCCCCTGGAACGAAGCCAAACTCGTGGAGCCGCGATTGGCGTTTCGGTTGTAGTACACTGTCGTCGCTGGCCTTGCCAATCTTGGAGTCTGGGTCGTCCTGCTCTCTCAACATGCTGAAGCGGGTGGACAGGCCAGGCATGATCAGACTTGTCCGGAAGTCATCTGCTTTAGGCAACGCGAAGTTGAGATCGAACTCTGGTTTGGGCTCTTCCTGACCCTTCTTGCCCTTCTTCGTCTTCTTTGGGGCGGCGGCCGCGTCCTCGGCGCCATCCTTCTTCCTGTTCAACCAGCGGTTCATGATGGTCTGGCAGTTATTAGCAAACGTATAAGTACGCCGCATTGCATCCGGAGTGGGCGAGAGGCAATGGGAGGGCGCCTTGGCAATGGGGATGGGGAGGAGTGTAGTCTTACTGGCGAAAGTGATTAGACCGGATTATAGCGACGACTGTGCGCTGACCAATCTCGACTGTCGTGTCGCTGGGGTGAGCGGGCAGGCGCACTCGAGCGAGGAGTGGGGAAGGTGAGAGCAAGGCGACTCGGGCTGGGAGGAAAGAGCAATCGCGAACATGTAGCGGGGCCAAAAACAACAATGGGGCGGTCACGGGCTGTCTTTTTCGAAAGTGTGTCCTGGGCACAGTGGAAAGTAATGTCGGCAAGAGGCGAGGGATGAGCGAGCTGGAGGTGAAAAGGAAGGCGTGCAGCGATTGCAGGCGGGATCGGGCGCGCTCGACTCTGGATGGCTCGGTTGGCGGCAAAAAGTACAAAACAATAGATTATGGCAAAGGTTAAGGAGCGTGAGTAGCTGGCAGCAAACAGGTGAAGGAGTGAATGCACGCGCGCTGCGGAGTGCTGGCGTGGTGGTAGAAAAGAATGCAGAGAGCAGATCTCCCGACCGAAAAGAGGCTTCGAGGAGCGGGTCGACGTGGGTATGCACTCTTTGGGCCTCTGGGGGAGTGACAAGCACTCGCACATGGGACAAGGATCAATTTCCACTAGCCTCATTTCCGCGTCGCGCATGGGCGTCGCGGTGCAGGGAGCAGAGAAGCCATAGAGCGCGGGCCAATATCCGCTCGATAGGCTGACTGAGGTCGGACGGCCAGTTGCAGTATTGCGCCGCTGAGCCCAAACCCGCGCCGTCCCAGGGGATGCGGGCGACTGGCAGCGCGACAGAGTCGACGACGAGGCGTCGACGCGATCCAACGGCATTTGCTAGCGCCCTCTGCTGCCTCGCCGCTGCCTCGCAGCTCGTCAGACATGCTCCTTCCGCGTCACACGTCGCTCCTGCCTCGTCACTCGCGTCGCAGAGTCATGCCTTCCTTTTGCAATAACAAACTTTGCCTCCCCCCACAGTCTGAAAACCACGACGCACGACCTTATGATAGCCCTTGGCCCGCCCTTTGCAGCTGCCGCAACGACAAAAAGTATCATGAACACTGCGAGGGACATCGCGCTCCGCTAGCACCCCGCCCAATCAGCGCCCTGCCCTGAGCGGTACCTTGCAGGCGTCGGGAGGGGCTGGTCCATCCCTGCATCCTCGATATCACCGCGCCCGCGACTTGCTTTTCTCGTCGCGCCACGACGCATCGTCAGCTTTGCCTCTCCGCCCGTCAGCGCTGCAGCGTCGACTCCGCCTTCTGCCCAATCACTCACCTCACACATGGGTAGCCAAAGTATGCGGGGAGACGATCCAGAAGTACCAAACGCCCATCGCGTACCTGAAGCCGCTAACCTCGGGACGTACAGTGAAGCGAGCGAATCACCCAGCGTCCTAGTCATGGTCCCGGTGGCCTTTCGCTGTGTTCCCCTGGCCTAACCGCCTGGCGCTGTCATACCTCCCCTTTCCATGTACTACGGTAAGCGCAAAACTATGCTCCAACACTCCGAAGTTCCAACATGTACTCTTGATCGACTCTCGAGGAGCAGGATTCAATTGGTCTTGTGTTTTCGCGATACGGGGCCCGGCCAGACTCGCATCCGGAGACCTGGTCCAACTGTCGTGTCATCTCCCGCGTGGCCGTCTGTCTACCGTCAGGCCGCCCCTGGCAGCTGATCCGAACGGCCATCCTTCCCCTTCTGTTCGGAACGTTGGACTCGCATCGGCAGACTAAATGCCGGCAGAGTGAATGCCTCGCCGTCGGCGAATAAGGCCAGCCGGCTGTGCTGTAATTCAGTCCTTACTGAGCTTACTGCAGATACCTGCATCCTCTTCCTGCATACGCAACCGCCACAGTCAGTCCGAGAGCTTCTGCATACTAAGTTCTCAGCAAGTTTCAACCTGGATTCCGAAATGAATAGCCCGGGCTGGGCCTAATCGATTGCATCGGTGCCACGAGGTAAGCAAATTGCCCCTCACCCGCCGCCTGCCGTTGTACGCTGAGGATGATCATCTCCAGCCCGTCCGCGAAATTGCTGTAGGATCGGCGCCACTCCAGCCCTGTGAGACAGCAGTATCTCATTCGCTAACACCGTCCCGTTTATTGATGAATAATTTAATTACATCAACGCCGCCCGTTCTACCTAGCACCTGTTACTTGTGCTTACTTAATTACCGCGTTAGTATAGGAACCTAATACTACCTACTTGTACGCTAACATCTTCTTAATAACCTAGTTATTGCTGTAACGTTTAAGCGCCTTTATAAAGCTAGGCTTATTACTATCTAGGACTTTCTTTCTTTTATTGTCTTTAATCTAGTTCTAGAGCTTAGCTAGAGCTTATTTCTTGCCTTTTAACTAAGCTACTACTACTATATTATCTATAATATTATTAGCTTCTATTTATTAAGTTCTATATAAAGCTTTTACCTTGTTTAGTAAATTACTCTAAAAGTAATTTAGTATCTTAATAATAGAGTTAGACTTTTTATATTTTATCTATAAGTCTATTAAATTTATAGATATCTATAGTACGTATTATAATAGCGTTTATTATACTTAGAACTTTAGTTTATACTATACTATATTAAGAAAGTTAGCTAAATATTAGAGCTAAGCGTAGAGATTTTATTAATTTAGATATCTTAGCTTTATATTTTATTATTAGATATATTATTTTCTTAGAGCTAAAAGTTTTTTTTTAATACATCTATTATAAGTAGTAGCTTTACTTATAAGATATTTTATATTTAGAGTACTATAGTACATACTACCTAGATATACTACCTATAAAATAGTAACTTTTTTAAGCCTATAACCTCTTTAGAACATTAATAACTCTATTTAAAGAACTCTTTTCTAACTAATTTATAAGTCTTTTGTTTATACAGAAACCTATAAATAATTAAAGATTATTTTTAACACCGTCCCGTCACACGCGACAGGGACGCGCCCACGGTATTTACATGTATCCTCTTCAGCGCCATGTTGACAGACGCCCACGCGCTGGTACTTTTGCCCACCACCTGATCAGGTTTCAGATCTGGCCCAGGCACCGCCCTGCTAACCGACCCCACGATTGTTTCATGCTTCCGTACACATGTCCGACGAACGCCTCACTGCGGTCCGAGCAGCCATACACACTCTTGCAAGTCCCACTACCCAAGCATCATCGCTGCAAACCAGCACAGCCGTTATTGTGACAGCGGGTCAGGTTTATCAGGCTGTGGCCTGTCGAATATAACGACAAACTCCAAAATCTCACCCTTCCGCATTTCTTTGAAAACTTGAACCCTTGACGAGTTTCCATATATACATAGAGTTTGTCTGAGGGGTAAGCAGTATGTCCAGTCATCCGGACCTCCAGACTTGCAAGGAACGCTGCAACTCTCGTTGGCGTCGTCGACGTCACCATCATCTTACGTATTCTCCAGTCACGAAAAAACCGTTTGCTGCCAAGAAGACGCGGGAAATTGATAATGCAAATTCTGCTCTGTTTCCAAGGCTCCGGCAGCACCTCGCGATCGATCCGTAGATAAATCGAAACTTCGAAAGTATATCCTTGCCGCGGAGACCGAGATGACAAAGCTGTTTAATTTCCGCCGATCATCCGGACAACACCCTTCGCTGAGCAGGGTCTTGCTGTGCCAGTGCGGAGACCTTGATTGATCACAATCTAAGTAACGCGCTCCTGTGTGTGATGATCACATGGCGTGACCGATGACAAACTGATGCCCAGAGTCCGCCGAGAGGGGTTTGGGTTATCCGGATTATAGCAGTCTACTCTATCATTCCTGTGCGGTTGAGAACTTCAAGAAAGAACGATCTCCAAGCTACGTGTATACGCTCTCGACTTCCGCTCTTCGAGCTTGCACACCAGCTTCTGCTTCAATTCGCAAATTTCATATAACCACGATACTGACCTCTCGTACGGGGTTACCAAGTTGCTTCACTCGCGGTGACCTGGGATACGGACTGTCCGCGATGTATGAGGATCCCATATCCAGTCATATCTGTAGCTATCGCTGCCTATCGCGTTAACGGGAAAACGCTGCCTTACTTTGGTCTTGAATACCTCGAAGTCAATTTCAAAAATCGCGGCTAGCTTGTGCCGACAGCTTTCTTTATATGTCTATCGCGAACATGACGAGCAAGGAATGCTCTGACGTTCTAATTTTCGAAGCTTTGTATAGTTCACACACGAGTATAACGAGCACCAATACAATGAAGAAGCCGAATACTCTGCAGTCTACATTAGTACGAAAGCCAAAGTTGGCAAGTTCTTAACGCAATGCAAGCTTCTGGATTACTTGTCGCTGTCCCTCGCTGGAAGTGGGTGTTCAATAGTTCTGCTGGGATGTGTGCGAGTTCCTACCGGCTGGTGTGGAGCTACGTCACTACAAGCTCTCACTCTCACCTTCACTACTTTGTTGCCGGTTTCTCGCTTGCTGGGCCTTGTTCACTCGCAAAGTCCTCGAGAGCTCGCTTTTCGGAAAAATTGCCCTTGCTTTACTCACCAATGTTCCTTACACTTCCTACCTCCACTTTTACACATCACTCGGTCTGCAATTCCCTAGATGTTGTTCGGTCACCTCTTACCCCTCGCAGCCATTGCTACTGCAGCTACAATTAAGCATAAACCAGATTCCGACTATGTCTTCAGCTGTGGTCCTCCCCTCCCCTACCTCGCCAACGGGTCGCAGGCCACGAGCTGGGCGCAGTATCTCGACGAGATTGGCGACGATCTCGACGGCGACGGCCAAGGTGCTGTGGATCATTTTGGTGGCCCCATCGGTAAGGCGCCGTTGAAGTGGCCTCGCAACTCAGAAAACATTGCTGTTATCCCTTACTGCTACTTCGACGAAAAAGAACGCGAGTCGATGCACGAAGTTATCGAGGCCGCCATACAATCGTGGATGACGTACGTGTATATCCAGTGCGACCTTTGATCGTGGACTGATGCGCCCTTAGTTATCTTGGCAATCCAGGAAAGGAATCCGGTCACGCTATCAGTTTCGAAGAGTGGGTGGACAGTGAAGGAAAACCAGTGATCTGTTACAAGAAAAGCGAAACCGACTTCTTCCATTGGAACCCAGATCTGCCTCACGAGACCTTGACGATCCAGGTGGGAAAGGGAGAAACCGGTTGGACGGCCAACGCAGGTCTAGCGGTTGACCAGAAGAGTCCTTGGAGGAACCAACTGAACGGCCCGGAAAGCGGTCGTCTTGTGAATGTGGAGTGGGCGGCTATGCACGAACTGGGTCATGTCATGGGTTAGTATTCATCTACGAGTAAGCTACCGACATGGGCTAACAAAAGGCAGGTATGGCGCACGAACATCAGCGTAGTGATCGAGACGACTACATCGTGGTCAAACCCGAGAAAATCGGCGACTTCGAAGAGGTAAGTATTACATTCATCAGGCCGCCAAAACGAACACAATCGTTACTAACGCTAAGCAGTGTTACAAGCGCGCCCACGAAAAGAGCTCTCGAGTAACCCGAGAAAACGTATGCACCTCACTCAGAGTAGCGCTACGCAACAATTGTGCATGCAGAGATTGGGTCAAAGGCATGGCCGAGCTCTATCTCCCTCTGTTTACCTTCGACAAATACGACTCCGAAAGCATTATGCATTATCCCAGCGCCATTGGGGGTAAGCCAGAGAAGTGTGAGCTCTACAGCGGCGAGGAAGATACGGCTGAATGCCCGATTCAACAGTACAAGAACTTTGAGGATCACAGCCAAGGGGTTACGAAGATGACGCCGAACTTGCATCCGTCTGCGCAGGATATCGCGTGGGTTAAGAAGGTATATGCTTGGGATGACAAGGGTGAAGCGTGAGGTGCGACGGGGTCATCCACTGCCGTCGCAATGTCTTCGACCGCTGCATATAGCTTCGAGCGGCTATGTGGGGACAGCTTTACAGAAAACATCTGGTCATACTGAGAAATAGTGGAAGAAGTACGTGTCCACAAGGTAGCAAACGATGTGACTCAAAACGGACTTTGCCTTTCACATTTGCTAGCTCATCTGTGTCTGAATCTATCTCACGATAACATAACGGATTACCAAAGCAAATTCTCTCATCAGCAACACTCAAATAATGCAATTGCCTCTACACGTGTCTTCAAGCATCTTACGCAAGATGCATAAAGTGGAAGAAATTGACAGACATCAGACATATATCAACTGAGCAGCAACAAGCGCGTGTACGCAGAATCTTATATCAAGACCAAAGCCACGATACGTCATACAAAACCCGTGAACGCAACATCCACTACGAGGGCAAGCGTACCACAGACCACTCCTGCATACACATACACGCTTCCTTCTAGCCCACCCTTACCCCCATCCGCAACGTCACCTCGCCATCAGACTAAACAACCCCACCCCACGTTCCCAGATTCCCACGTTCTCAACGGCAGCAACGGTCTTCCCAACCCCTACTCAACAACCTGCATGCTACGTAAGCCCATGCAGCTACCCGCTGCAGGTCAGCCTCAACTGCATGAAGGGAACCGCCTGCCGCGTAAAACGGCTAACAGCGGGGCTACCAAGAAGTCTTAGTAGGTGTAACCAGAGCTCAACAATATGCATGATGTACCGTTTATGTGGAAGAGGGTTTATCTGTTGAGGTTATCTCGGGATGTTCGGGAGATAGGGAGATAAGGAGATGGAGTGTAGGATGGGTAGGATGAAGGAGGAAGTCGAAGATACAGCGTCATTGGCATGGATGTTATCGTCATTATGCGAATGGCATCTCTTGGTGAATATATTTTGTTTGAACATGTTTTTGTTGCATTACAATACATAAATCTCTCTTGCGAAGCATGTAACATATCTAATCTTGATGCGCCTGGGGACCCAAACACGCCATGTAGGGGAATAATGTTCCTTCTCCAACTATACTACCATGCATCTAATCTTCGTGAATATTGAGGGACATCGCCCGCCGGTGTGTTGACACGTATATTTAACATTGCGCGATGGCGACGGAAACGGCCTGGTCGTCGGAGTGGCTGATGCTGATGTTGATGTTCTTGACACCTACGCGCTTGGCTTCTTCGTCGGCTTTGCCGTAGAGCTGTGTGAATGTTAGCGACTGATCTTAACACTGAGTAATGAAAGGAACATACCTGAACAGTTGGTGCGCCAGACTCATCGTTGATGATCTCGATATCCTTCAGCGGAGCGCCGGCGCCTTCACCCTTGACACCGAGAGACTTGAATACAGCCTCCTTCGCTGACCACTTGCCTGTGAAGCTGGCTTGTGGGTTTGGTGCCTTTTGGCAGTATGCAATCTCCTTCTCGGTGAAGTTGCGCTCGATGAAGGTCTCGTTCTCAATGTTGAGTGCACTGATGCTCTCAACATCGACACCAACCTTGCTGTTGGCGGAAGCTGTGGCTTGAGTGAGCTGCTCAACCATCTTCATCGTCTCCTGTGCCTTCTTGTCCTTCTTGGGTGCAGGGGTCTTCGCATAGCTGTATGTCGAGGTCTTCTTGTTCATGGTGACACGCGCTTGCGGGTTGAGGAAGACCTCTTGCATCTTCTCGTCCTCGTACGGCGCCTTGTCCTTGGCACGGAACATGGTGTTGTTGATGAGACCATCATGGAAGTATCGGTATGCCCTCTTTTGGCGAGCTTCAACCTTTTGCTTGTAGGCAGCGAATTGGTGGTGCTCAAGAGCGGCGAACAGGTACTTGGGGTGAATACCGATAGCTTGGGTTCCCTTCTGTCCGAAACCGAATGAAGTAACGGAGAAGGCCTTGATACCATCGGTCTGGATGGCCTGCGACGGGTAGACGATGTAGTCGTATTGCTCCATGATCTTGTCGACGTTATCGGCGTTGCGGTTGCCAGGTACGAGACCAGTGTTGAGCACCTGCAAGCAACCGTTGAACATCCAGGCACCGGCAGCACCCTTGGGGTGACCGGTGAGGTACTTCTGCCAGATACCAAGCAGCGCATTGCCCTTCTTACGGCCGAGGTGGCGCATCTGGTGGTTGATAACATCGGACTCGTTCTTGTCGTTCGCAACAGTGGAGGTACCGTGGAAAGAAGCAACATCGAGATCGTCAATGGTAAGGCCCCAGGTAGCAAGTGCACCACGAAGAGGAGCGATGCGTGAGTCTTGCTTCCAGAAGCTGTTACCGAGACTGTTGAGCGCGTCCTTCTCTTGTCGCTTGGCTTCCATCTCGATGTTAGCAGCACGCTCCTCGAGATAGGCAGCCTCGTCGAAGTCCTCGCCAGTAGCGTCCTTCATCGCCGCGACTTCCTCCTGGAGGTAGAGGACTTCCGACTCCTGCCACTGCTTGATCTGCTTGCGGCGGAGGTCCATCTGTCTCCTCCTGTACTTGATGTCAAGAAGAGGAGATGGGAACTTGGACGGGTTCTCTCGTGCGGTGGTCAATACACCCTTTCCTGGAGCAGGGACGGAACGACCAATCTTGTCGGTTGCTGTGGCCGTGAAGCCGAGGATGCCGTAGATGGGGACTCCCATGTCGAGGGCGAGCTTGGCGTCCATGATGACTTGCATACCGCAACCTTGCGATTCCATGAAGCCATTTCGGGTTGTGGTGGTGGGGCGCGACATCTCCTTGGGTGTACGTCCGTGAGCGAATTCGTCTTCGGCGTTGCTAGTGGCCTTCATGTTGGCGAATTCGTAGGAGCCTTCCTCTTGGAAGTCATCGAAACCACCAACGAAGCAGACACGGGCCTTTCCTTCGACGATGGTGTCGTAACCGATATCGAGAGACTCAACAGCGGTGGCGCAAGCACCGACGGGTGTCTTGATAGGTCCAGTGGATGAGATGAGCAACATGTTAACCCAAGCGCTCATAGTGTTGATGAAAGACTCTTGCAGAATATCCTTCTGGACTGGCTTGTCCATGAAACGGTCTTTGTACATTCCTCGAAGGGCGGTAGTACCACCAATACCGGAACCGACGCAGTTACCGACTTGAGACAAGTGGACATATTGGTAGAACTCGTATGGGTCGGTGATACCACTGGCAAGCAGACACTCAGCCGTGGAGACAAGCACGAAGAGTGTGACAGGGTCGACTTGGGAGATGATGTCGTCGGGCACACCGTACTTCTTTGCATCCCAGCCAGTCGGGATTTGACCAGCTACGAGACGGTCGAAGCGAAGAGCCTTGGGAAGGAGGAGTGTAGCTCCCTTCTTCATGCGGACAGTGTACTCGCTAGACTCCTCGATCGCAAAGATCTCAACCTTGTCGCCATGCTCCTTCTTGAACTCCTCCGCAAGTTCCTTGGAAGCCTCGAATGGATCGAGATCCTCCTCAATCTGGATCTCTTGCATAAGCTGCTTCTTCTTGGGATCGTAGCCATTGAAGAGCTCGGGCTCGATAAGGCGAATACCGGCGTGCTCGAGAATGTACTTCTCGTACTTGGGCTTGACATCCTTGTCATCGATTGGCTCGTTGGTCTTGGCGTCAACCCATCCGGAGTAGCTCTTGCCCTTGAGAGGACCGTTGTGGTTCTTGATGAGACCCATGATCCAAGCCATCTCGACACATCCCTCAATGGAGAATTCGCCGTACGCTTCCATCTCCCAGCGTGTCCTGGAGTTACCCCAAGGACCGACTTCAGAGAAACCAGTGACGACGACGACCTTCTCAAGGTCGACCATACCCTTAAGGTTATCGTTGAGAGGCTTGACCTCTGTGTCCCAATCAGGTAGGGTGGGGAAGTCGAACTTCATGTTTGCACGTGGTTCAATCGTGGCCTTCTTGTATAGAGCCTCGCTGGCCTCGCCGTTGACGACCTTGTTCTCGATGGCATTCTCCTTGATGACGGCGCGGCGGATGTCGCTCGTCTCTGTGAGTTCCTTCCGCAAGTCGGTCATCAAGTCCTTCAGGTTAGGAATGTACTGGAAGCCGCCGTTGAGGTCAGCCCATACAGGCTCGACCTGGCAGAGGTTGACGATCGGTGGCGCCATCAGACCAAGCAAGTTGAAGGCCATCTCCTGCTGAGAGAAGGTGCGTACACCGTACTTCTCGATTCCCTCAGCGACGATGTTGTTGGCGCCCATCAAACCAGTGCCACGAGTCCAGCCGATGACGGCACCACAGATGGTGAGGTAGTTACCCCAGCTCTCTGAGTGCCACCTCGAGAAGAGTGTCTCGAGCGACATCTTGGACTCTGAGTAAAGACCATCGTTACCGAAGGTTCCGTGGTTGGGTGACAATGGCAGGATGACTTGTGCTGGGCGGGTCTCGTAGCCGTAAGCTTGCTTTTGCTTCTTGACAGCGCCGAGCATGCGCAACAGGTTGGTCAACATGATGCGGTGAGCGAGCTCAGACTTGGAGTCGATGCTGTCAATTTCGCGGCCATTCTCTGGAATAGCAGCGAAAGGAACGATGAGGTCGAGATCCCATCCAAGGCCCTTCTTGGTGTCGAAGATGTAGTCGACCAAAGCCTCAACATCTTGGTTGCTGCCCTGGTTGAAAGGCACAACAATGAGCTGAGAACCGCGGGCGCCGTATCGCGAGTACATGGACTGATAGTACTCGGTGACCTCACGGGAGAACCTGGAAGTTGTGACGACGACCTTGGCACCACCGCTAATGAGACCCTGAAGGACTTGCGCACCGATAGAGCCGGCACCAGCGCCCGTCATAAGAGCGTACTTGCCCTGGAAAGTGACACCAGACTTGGCGGCATCCTCTAAGCAGTCCAGGTAGACGCCAGTCAGCTTCTTGCTGTACTCCCAGCCATGGTCATCCTTTCTCTTGAGATGGAGGAAGGGAATTGTCTCGACCTTGCCCTGCTTAGCAGAAGGGTTGACGCGACCGTTGCGACCCCTCTTGCCGCTAGC